TTCAGACGAATGCCTTTCGGATTAAAAAACGCCCCTGCCACCTTTCAAAGAACAATGAATGAAGTACTGAACGGTTTAATAGGTGAAATACTATTTGTTTATTTGGATGATATAGTAATTTACTGAAAGGATTTAGAGGAACACATGCACAGAATCGACATATTTATGAAAAGGATTAAAGACGCCAACTTAAAGTTACAACCCGATAAGTTTATATTTTTGCAAAGCGAGGTTCATTATCTAGGTCATGTGATAGGAAGAGACGGAGTTAAGCCAAACCCCGACAAATTAAAAGCAGTACAAAATTACCCCACATTAAAAAATCAAAAAAACATAAGAGAATTTTTAGGTCTTGTAGGTTATTACCGCAGATTTATACCTAACTTTTCCAAAATCGCCAGACCTCTTACTGACCTGTTGAAGAAAGATAGCGAATTCAAATGAACAAATCTTCAACAACAAGCATTTGACGCAATGAAAGTAGCTTTGTGTACGAAACCTATACTACAGCACCCGGATTTCACTAAGACCTTTTTAGTAACCCCTGACGCATCAAATTATGCAATAGGAGGCGTTCTCAGCCAAGGTGATATAGGAAAAGACTTACCAATCGCCTATACATCGCGTCTACTAAAACCCGCCGAATCTCGTTACTCGACTATAGAAAAGGAATGCTTAGCAATTTTGCACTGTGTTACGCAATTCAGACCTTACGTATACGGCCGACACTTTAAATTCATAACCGATCATAAACCTCTCGTGTGGCTGGATTCAGTAAAAGGTAAAACCTCCAGACTATGGCATTGGCACCTGAAACTAAGCGAGTACGACTACGAAATAATACATAAACCAGGAAGGGTGAACGCGAATGCTGATGCACTTTCGCGAAACCCAGCAGAACCCATAGTCCCTTGGGATACAGTCGGAAAAATTTCGATAATAATGCAACTTTACGGTTATAACCAAGGTCAAGGACTTGGAAAGAATTCCGACGGAATAACTGTCCTTATTCAACCGGCATCCCCACCACCGCGCTGTAGAATCAAACCCGTGCTACTTGGGAATGATAACGTAAACAAAATCGCCCCTATCTATACCCGTTCGAAGCGTAATGCCCCCTCCTCCTCACATACCGAAGGAAAACGGCCCCCTCTCTCCCCTCCACTGAAAAGACCAACCACCATGGCCGACACGCCTATCGAGAGTCCCAACACGCGTGACCTCCCCGACCATCCCCCCTCTTCTCCTGACCCATCTCCACCACAGTCACCACTGTCTTCTAGATCTCCATCCCCCTCTTCTGCAAGCTCCTTGGACTCCGACGAACCTGAACCACGTGCCATCCCTCGCCCCGCAGCTCTAACTTCTCTATTTAAACTTGTTGATTCCAGAGATTGTTTAAAATTCAGAAAGGATAACTTGGTAATATTTATATCACACCAAGGCAAGCCCCTTGATAAAGGTGCCCTGGAACTCCATGAAAATAAAATGCTGCCAATATATAAAGACATCATGCCCGAAAGAGCAAAGGTAACGAACACCACAAAAGAAAAGAAACTCATATCACTACCGATAGCTTATCCTCCAACCAAGCAAAGCATAGTTGAGGCGTTAAAATCATTATTCGATGTAATTACAGAATTAGGGATAAATTCAGTTAGCATTGCAAAAACGCATTACATGGGTGATCTTCCGTGGAGAACTATAGAGAATAAACTCAAACAAACATTTTCTGAAACCGACTTAGCCGTAATCATCTGCAATTCACTGCTTCGTACTCCTTCTGAGGACGAAAAAATCACCATATTACAGGAATATCACTCATCTCCCACGGGAGGTCATATGGGCGTAAGTAAAACATACTGCCGCATCAGGAACTATTACTTCTGGAAGAATATGAAGGAAGATGTCAGAAATATCATAAACAAATGTCTTGTCAAATAAGAAAAATGACCCGAGTAAAACCAAGAAGGCCAATGATCCTCACCGATACACCCGGCTGCGCTTTCGATAAAGTAGCGTTAGACATCGTGGGGCCTCTTCCCATGACCCGTAAGCGGAATTTATACATATTGACTGTACAAGACTTATTAACTAAATTCTCTCGAGCAATACCCTTAGCCTCGATTAGTGGCGAAGCTACCGCCGAAGCTTTCTATCAGGAATACATTTGCCTTTTTGGAGCTCCTCGTGCCATAATTACCGATCAAGGTAGAAATTTCATATCAACCGTATTCAGGAAAATAGCCAAGAAGTGTAATATAAAACAATTCACTACAATTGCTTATCACCCTCAATCTAACGGATCGCTCGAAAGATCTCACCAAGTTTTACTAGAATATTTAAACACGTATGTAAATAGTAAAGGCAACGATTGGGATTCTTGGCTAAATTCAGCAATGTTTTCATATAATACTAGCGTACATGAGGGAACAAAACACACACCATACGAACTGGTGTTCGCTCAACTCGCTTGTCTGCCAAGCTCCTCCCCTCCTATAGAGGAAAATGTAGATGTTACATATGCGCAATATCTAAACGACCATTTCGACGAAATGGATAGACTACAAACTCTCGCTCGTAAAAACCTGGAAGAAGCAAAAATCAAAAGTAAAACATACTACGATAGGAAAGTTGTATCACAAAAATTAGAAGTCGGAGATGATGTCTTATTATTGGCAGTAAAACAGGGGAAATTCGGAAACACTTACAACGGCCCCTTTAAACTGATAAAACTATTAGAAAATAATAATGCGATTATAGAAATTAAAGAGGGAAAAACTAGGAGGGTACACGTTGACAGACTGAAATTATATAAGAACTAAAACTTAAATCTACCTCATATGCCGCGGTAGTTGTCATTTCTCTTATCTTATTTAAATATACACACACGAAATAAATACCTAATCTTTCTTGCAAACACGAATACTCCGCCTCCCCCTCTCTGGCCATAAACATTTGATAAACATAAGTTGTAAATAGGAATAGCGCACCACGCGGTCTTGATCTTCGCCTTCATATGCATCGCGGAGGTATTCATCGGATTTGATTGCGGCAGCGGCTCGCTGAGCGTTACTACAGTTTCGCTTCGCGAAGTGGGCGACTGTGATGTCCCGACGCATCATCTAAACACCACACGCACCCACATACAACTGCTACAAACTAACGAATACCAAGTCATCTCTTTCATCCAGTGGAATTTGCATACACAGTTATGAAAGGACCAGGCTACACTGCAGTACAAGCGGGTGACTCTACTCTAGGACGTAACATATATATATATATATTATAATATAGTTCCATAGTTTATAGTTCGGCATTTTGTTATTTCAAGAATCGTGTATTATAATTTGTAAGGAAAACATGCGAAAATCTCGCCTTCATATTAATGGATTTGTTCGAGAGCGTACCGCAATCAAGGGGTTAAGAACTAAAGTAAACTTCTCACCTTTTCTGTAGTAGCTCATGAATTGAGGCCTCCGGCACACACATTTTTAATAACCAATAATAAAATAATACTAGTCGCAGGTAATATCAAATATTACTAAAATACTTCTTCTCAAATTTGATTATGTTTAATCAAAATTATTCTTTTTTGTTAACGATCAATCCGTATGAAAAAAATCACTGATTTTACGTAAAACAGATACAAACTGAACAACGAAAAATAGTAACATAATACTCAACAGATCAAACAGAAGTGGCTCGCTTTGCTTCTTGATCCTATTCATAAACTTATGCCGGCCCCCACTTCCTTGACGGCTACTTCTTTTCTACAGCGAATCAGTTCTTAGGATATGCCTACTTGGTTCCTCATTGGATACTGATACTGACGCCTACGAGGCTCATTGGTTTAGAAAACTAACAAGATGTGACAATTGCCTTCGATGACAATACTTTCAAAAGTAAAAGAAAAGAAAAGAAAATGGCTTAGTACGTTACAATAAAGACATAATTTTCCGAGTAAAAAGAAACTTGTGTAGATAAAAAGGGCCGCATAAATGTAAAAGGAAACGTATATTACGTGATAAGCTTAAGGATGTATAGGCTATAAGTCAAAATGATGCTAGAGTATAGATTTTTTTATGAAAGGTACGTTTTAATATTAGAAATCTATATCTAAAATTTTGAATCGATTCATGGGTTTTTTAAATAGTTAGAGTCATTTGAAATTTGTGTGATGAACTATTCATATGACATTCACGAAATCGTGTGAATCTCATGAAAAATTGTGTTTAAGAAAAATCATGATTTTTTATGAGATATTATGAGAGTAATTAATGAAATTGTAACACAAATTTTCGTAATCACGCGTAATTCATCGGTAAAAGAATAGAAACGTGGCAACCTTGTCGTTACGTGGAAACGCTCAGCGATATATATAGATATACCTTTACCTTAGAATAGCATCTTATCGTATGTTTAGCATGATGGGTAATAATAATTGAAGATTATTAGTTATTATTAATATTAATGATTTCTTTGTGGAAGTGAAAAAGTTTAAAGGACTTTTCAATATGTAAGTGTGAAAGGAATTGTGTTTTGTTATATTGTCATCAAGAGATTATTTGAATATAATGAGTTAGGTTAGGAAAAAAAAACAACTCAAGAAAATATCAAGTGTTATTAAAATAAAATTCAGTGTTTAATTTAGCATTTAGACATTTTTCAATAAATTAATTTTTATAAAAGTTCTTATTTTTATAATGAGTTAGGTTAGGAAAAATATATAACTCAATGAAATATCACAAGTATTATTAGAAAAAATTCAGTGTTCAGTTTAGCATTTAGACATTTGTCAATCAATTTATTTTCATAGAATAGCTATGGTTAGATAATTGGAAAATATCTCCTATATATTAACATACTATATCTATAATATATATTTTTGTTAAACATCAATACTTATAATATTCAATTTTCATTTTTTTGTCTCAGCCATTTAATAATTTTGTCAACAGTTGATCGATTAACTAGAACTTTTTGGTCGTTTTGTCTATTCAGTAATAACATAACTCCTTCTTCTCCTAAATCAGAATACGTCTTTTTCAATAGGTCAATTGTAATATTATTTTTTATTAATTTGTTTCTAACTTCAATTCCAACAATTGAAACAATAGGTTGTAGTGTTGGTAATAATACTTTAATTCTATTATTATCCAACCACTTATTTGTCGCTTCATGATAGTTAATACTATATTGAATCATATCTTTATAATCTATTTCTAATTTCTTAATTATTTTTTCTAAAATTGCAACATCTTTGGTAGCATCATGAGCATCGGCACAAGAAATATTTAATGACTTGGCTAAATTTGTTATTGTATAAGCACCTTTTCCAGTACGTTCTGTAATTTTTCTTATTACTTTTAAAGTATCTATAAAACCTTCTGCAACAGTTGAGAGTTCATCAATTAAATTACAAGAAGTTAAAGATTTGCATAATCTTGGACCATCGAAATTCAATTTGTGAGCAGAATTTTCTATCAAATGACATTAAATAAGTTATTAATTGCCCCAAAGCAACTCGAAGTGGAACTGATTATCTACTTTTTTATCATGCAACATCAAATCTCCATCAAATTTTCTTAAACCATGAATACTAGAAGCGGATGCTGAAATTTCTTGCTTAGGATAAATATATATACATTATAATTAATACTGCCACACTTCATTGCAATTTGTAATATATCACAGTTACTTTGTAAGCCTGTTGTCTCTATATCAAAGAACATTATTCGAATATTTTCTCCAAGCGTACCATCTTCTTCATCGCTCAATCTTGATATCTGTACTGCAGCAGGTTCTTGAAGTAAAGTTAAGTTACTTTCATATGTTGTTTCTTCTAAAGTTTCCTTCTTATGGCGCAGAGCAGATCTTTTTTTCTTGAATAAAAGTCTATTTTTCTTGAATATCTGTGTTTTTATAAGTATGGCTCGTTTAACTTTTGTTTTTGTAAGTCTTGAAATATTTTTTTTATGATGTTTTCCAGGAGATAGTTCTAAATTGGATGAAATTACACTAGTGTAATTAATACCTAAATTTTTTTGACAAACAATTGAAGCATACCGGTAATTAGATGATGCTGATAAACTTAAACATTTAGATTTTGGTGTTTTGCTAGCCATACTTGCATTCAAGCTTTCATTAACATTGCTAGAGGCACCAACTGAAAACTTTTCTGCATTATTAGCTACATTATCAAAAATGGTCTTCAATTCATCAAATAATCTGATATCCGTTAATCCACCAGGCACAGTTTTATGATCATAATTTTCTTTATCTTGAATATAACTACACCATTGACCACATTTTTCATGTTTGTTAAATGCGTGGTAAGGAATAGATCTAATCGTTGCTGCCATATTTTTACTATTTCCTTTATTTTGTATCATTGCATAACTAAAACATCTATGTAAATATTTGATACTATCTTTCTTCAATTCATGATGATTTTTCTCAATAGCATATAAATGTTTAGTCACACCTTTTGATGTATGATTAGTATCAGATAATTTACTAATTTGATGTACAGCATTTTAACGACAAGAAGCAATTGCAGAGCTATCATTATCTCCTATAAACACACCAATTTCCACAGTTTTAGAATTTAAAATAGAGCTTTTATTTATTAATTGATTGGCAGCATGAGCTTCCATTGCTTTTGCTGAACCAGAGAAATTCATTCTACAGTCATGGTCAAAAGGAGTATGTCCTGCGTCATATTTTTTACATTTTTTATTACACGTTGAATAATCTAATACAGCTTGACTATAAATTCCTACGATTGCACCAAAGCCATTAAGGCTGTCATAATTTCTACCAGTCCTACGAGTACTCCAACCCATATCATGTGAAGCCATTAATTGAACTACGGTATCAAAAGTTGTAATATTAATTCCTTTATTAAAACAAGAATTTATACCTTCAGGCCTGAAAAATAAATAAAATATCTGAAAATACTCATTGTGGGATAAAGAATTATAAATTTCTCGTTAATTGTATTATTAAAATATTTATGTAGTTTAAATCATACATATTCAAATCAGTAATATAATGTAATTAGTAATGTTTATAATACATAATTATAATAAAGTACAATCGAATTTAGGTTTCATATAAACACTGTATGAAAAATTAATTAGTAATTATAATTAAAAATAAAAAGAAAATTTGTACAATTCATCGCTTATTTGAAAAAAAGCTTTCTAACTTTTAAATGTGTTTTTAAAGAAATCAATAAAATCATATTTACAATTGTTCTCTAAGAGTAGAAAGATTCTCAAGTGTTAATTCACGCTCCAATTCGGTTGCTTCTTCATAACTCTTCTTAACAACAATTTTTGTTGTATTCCCAACTTCTTCCTCGCATCTTTTGTATGTTTTGAAGTCGATTGATGGTATTAGGTTGTCCCATAAGTTTCTTCCGCGCCACGCTATGAATGAGTCTGACTGGCTATGTTTATATAAACATGCAGGCTTATCTCTTAGCCGTTTATGGCATCGGTTTCAGTCGTCCCAGAGCTCTTTCAAAGTACGTTTCGTTGGTGACAAAGTCTCTTTTAAAATTTTTTCTGCCCCGTTCAATATGGAGAACCAAAAGAAGCATTTACGGCATGTTATGCTTCATTGCTTTAAAAAAGGCAATAGTGCAAAGGACACTGCAGACGAGATTTGCACCGTTTACGGGAGTGRTACTACGACCATTAGGACCGTCCGCAATTGGTTTAAGAAATTTAGAGTCGGCAATTTCGATTTGCAAGATGAAGACCGCAGCGGCCGCCCAGTAACGACGGATGCGGACCTTATCAAGACTGTGCTCGCTGAAAATCCGCGATATAGTGTGCGCGAGATAGTGGATGACACTAACATTCCCAAGACAACGGTACATAAGCATTTGATCAAGATGGGATATGCAAATCGGTATGAAGTTTGGGYTMCACACATATTGACGGAGACCGGCCTTATGAACCGCGTCTCTACGTGCGATTTGCTTCTTCAGCGACATGAAAGAAATCCTTTCTTAAAGAGTCTTGTCACTGGAGACGAGACTTGGATTTTGTWTCAAAATGTGTCTCGAAAACGCACTTGGTCCAAGGAAAATAGACCTTCAACTGTTGCGAAGCCTGGACTTCATCCGAAGAAGGTTCTTTTATCCATTTGGTGGGACTGAAAAGGTGTAGTGTACTACGAGCTCCTTCCTCAARGTGAAACGATCAATGCTGACAAATATTGTAATCAACTTGATCAACTGAAAGCCGCCATAGCAGAGAAACGGCCAGAACTGGCGAACCGACGAGGAGTCGTTTTCCATCACGACAACGCAAGACCGCATGTTGCAATGGTCGTGAGACAAAAATTATTACAGTTCGATTGGGACGTTCTACCTCATCCTCCGTACTCCCCAGACCTTGCTCCTTCCGATTATTACTTGTTCCTCTCCTTAAAAAATTCTCTCCGTGGTAAATCTTTCAAATCCATAAGCGAAATAAAAACGCACACAGATGAATATTTTGCAAGTAAGCCTMMACAATTTTGGAAAGAGGGCATAATGAGGCTTCCTGAGAGATGGAAGAAGGTTATAGAATAGAACGGTTCATATATAACACAATAAATCAACCTCAAACAACAAATATCGTGTATTCATTTCGCATCAAAAAAAGGGAAGAAACTTATGGGACAACCTAATATATTGAGACATGCCAATAATTTATTAAGATTATTGAATCCAATTCCACTGTCTATCATACCTATGAAAACAAATGAGTATAATATTTATTTTTGTTATTTTAAAAATTGAAATAGCTACAAAAGAAAAAACTTTATTGAACTACCTATCACAAGTTTAGCATTAACATCAAAACGACTCATCCGGTGATTATTTACAAATGTAGAATGTTGTGTACCGGTATTGATTATATTTATCAATAAACATTTGTGACAACGGATTGACAAGATGGAGCCTAATCCTCGACGTTGTTCGTTTTCAATATTTTTTAATGATAAACATTCTTTACAGCTAGAACACCATACCTGCTCACCAATAAATAATAATTCTACGATGCGTCGTCCTTCTCCTGGAGTAACGTTTTTGATTTCAGACTGCTTTTCAGTATCTTCAGATATATTTATCTTTCTACGTTTAGTCTCAGTTCCACCAGAATTTAACCTATTACGACCACTGTTTTGTTGAGATATTCTTTGATTGTATATTTTTTCACTAACAAGAGTTCCTTACCAATAAAACCTTTTTCTTTTCACTTTGTCCATTATTTCTTGAAGTAATTGAACTATTAAATCGGAGTAAACAAAACGATCTGCTCTCTCACTCTTGTATGTACCGTGTAACAGCTGATTCCAAGCCAAGCCGACGCAGATGCCGAGTCTATTTGAAAGTTGTTGCCAACTTGAAAAAAAATATATACGCTCGCAGCCGTGCCCGATCTAGCGATCAATTTGTAGACTTCTTTTTCATTATTTATCTCACAAATATGTATTGATACTTACCTTTTCTTTATTTCAGTAATACTTATTTATCTATTGAAGTACGAAACAATGTAAAATTCTAGACAGTATCTAAATTATAAATTATCATTTTTCATTTTCTATAGCTTAAGGGGACGTTCTACTCTGCAATTTTTAAAAAATTAAATTTTTTTTTTTACATTTTTCGAATGTATATATACGTAGAAATATTGTGTTAAAATTTCCAAAAGATCCGATGTCTCTAACTACATTTTTTTGCTGTCTGAACGTTACTATTTCGGACTGCTCTCCTGAACGTTTGGCGCGCACGGTTCTTATATCGGCTACGGAGACTCCAAGACTTTTAAAATGCTGCTTTATTATCATCCATACGGTAAAGATTTCATTGTTAAAAAGTTGAAGTGTATTTTGCATGTGGCAAAACGTATTTTTAAGCGCGTTAATAAGGCAAGAAAAGCTCTCATACAAAAGAAGAACATTTAAAAGATCAACGCCTAACCGCCAAAAAAAAAAATAAGAACCGTAGCAAAAACAGTAGTGAAGAGAAAAACGACTGTTGTGAAAAAAGTTCCTGAAGTAAAAACTAAAAATTTACAATCAAATTGATGAAAGAACTCTCAGAGATCTACGGTTTAGCAGTCAGAAGAAATTTGAATTCTTCATAGGATATGCGTAACGAGATTTGGGCAGGATACTACCACAAAATTTCGACTGATGCCAAGCCGAAGCATTCTAAGTGTTCCATCGACTGGTRAAAGTWCCTCAAATCTAAGGCACATGGCACCTAAACACATGTTTAACGGTAAAAAAGTTGTTGAAATTGCGTGCAAAGTTTCTGCATGTATCTTTAACGAAGGATTTCGGACAGTGATGAAGATAATGGAAACGATAGGTATGAAACTTGGGCCAGRAGCGATCGACTTAGCTAAAAGACGCGACGACCGACGTATCGAATCTGCGAACCGTCGAAGCTCTAAGTGCTCAAAAGATGCCAGATCAAAGTGGAAGAAGGCAAGACTGGAAGAAATTGAAGAATATGAACAAGAAGAAGGTCTATTGTACGGTCCAGGCATCGCAGATTAGGTTTAGGTAAGAATTTTTAACGATTTTGAGTAAAAAAAACTTTAAACGCGTTTTTCTCGAAACTACGTTTTGAAATACTAGCTCCATCGTATCTCACGAACYAGTAAACCGATTCTTATAAAATTTAATCCAGATATTCTACACATGAGCTGTAACAAAGTGACGGAGAGTTTTTTCTTATATTTTAATTTTTACTAATTATTTTTAGTCAAAAACAACGGAAAAAAGGTCTAATTTACGTTTTTTTGTAATTTGTCCACCATTTTTTCATTTATTGATAAAAATTTCATATATTACTATCACTTTGTAGCTGAAGTCATACAGAATATAAAACCATTTTACTTTTATGTTTCAGGTAAGCCATTCTCAAGTTCTGATGGAGCTACCAAAGCACTAAAGTTTTAAGGTTTTTTTTTATACTACTGTTTTTGCAATAAAAAATTAATTAAAATAAAAAAATAAAAATTCATTTATATAGTTTAAGACTCAGTTAAACAAACCCCACAATTTTTATATCGATATCTTTTATAGTTTTCTTGGAAAAAATTCGCGAAAATAGCCTTTTTTTTAGGTGCTCAGAGTAGAAGGTCCCCTTAATTCTAAGAGAAAAATCTTAGATTATTTCCAAATATTGTTTACCGAAGATTTAATGGCACACATTGTATAATGTACAAATGAATATTACAAGAGTACAACTACATCCAATCTCATGGCAAAAAAAAAATATGAACAATCTTGAGTCGACGTCACCACGAGTGAAATGTATCGTTTTTTCGCAACTGCGTTGCTAATGGCACATGTCAAGAAACTTAAATATGCTGACTACTGGTCCACTGATTGTCTGACAGCTACCGAAAGTTTTTGAAAAATAATGCCGCGTGACCGACACAGAGATATTCTTAACTTTCTATATTTTAACGATTTAAATGTAGCCAACACTCGTGATCCTCTCTATAAAATACGCCGAGTTATTGATGAACTTCAGAGATCTTTTAGTAAGATGTTTTTATCCATTTTGCAATCTTTGTATAGATGAAAGCTTAATGTTATTTAAAGGTCGGTTATCATTTAAATAATTCATTCCAGCTAAACGAAACAGATTCGGCATAAATCTTTCGTTTTGTGCGACTGCTTGTCAGGTTACATTTCAAATTTTATTGTATATACAGGAAAAACTACAGATTCCAACGGACAGTCCGATGACAATTTAGGAAAATCAGGAAGTGGGGTTATGACACTCTTAGAACCATATCTTGAACAAGGCCATACCGTATTTGTCGATAATTGATATGCAAGCCCCACTTTATTTACAAAATTACAACATCATAAAACAAATGCTTGCGGAATGGTAAAAAAAACCATAAAAATATGCCCATAATTTCCAATCATTTAAAAAAATCGAGTTTTGTTTTTTTTCTTCTTAAATAGTTAATTGAATATCTTAAAAATATGCTTGTAAAATTTTATAATAAAATTCGCATTATTTATCGATTAAAATATTCATTTAAGTGCTCCGCCTCAACTCAGCGCTAGACGCAAACTCTAAACTTTGAACGCGTTTTTCTCAATACGACTTTTTTCCAAATGGCGTGCAAGATAACTAAAAAGTTCTCAACTCATTTTTATGAAATTCAGCACACATTTCTTTTATAGTATTAGCTTTTAGTTGAACTTCAAGAAGGTAAAAAAAATGTTAAAATATTGCAATTTTTGACTTAAAAACCGTTAAAAAAAAGGGTCAAGAATGGCAGCCATTTTGAAAAAAAGAATTTTAAAAACTCAGATTCCTTTATTTTAATATATAATGAATAAAGATGCTGAGTTTCAAAACGATTCATTTATTCCTTCCATTTTAAATAAGCCTCTGAAAAACGGTCAAAATTTAGGCGTTTACATGTATCGTCGGCCTTAACGGTTTCTATAAATATGTTTGAAATGTTTTTAAAATGTTTTTCATAATATTTTACCAAACTTTTTAAAAATAATGTTTGAAATCTTTGCAAAAGGTTTCTGCAAGGTTTTATTGTAATTTTTTTTCATCAAGATTTT